CAACAGAAAACAGTTGACATTTCCCAGTTGCTAGGTACCTCAAATCAAACAGGGAAGAGCTGAAATTTATGGACACAGTTCCCCTCCTCCTAGGGGACCCAGAGGACCTTCCTCCAGACATGTCTCACCAGGGCAGGTAACCAATCCCAAGCAGGGGTCAATACTACAATTCTTAAGTAAGCCCCCTACTAGGTGCTCATGTTTCTCTTTCGGCCCTTGCTGACCCTTATGGACACTGATCTCATCTTGTCTTCACACAATTATGTAGCATCTAATAGGGGCATCCAAAGGCTTCATAGTCCTCAGGTTTGGAATACATTTGCTTGACCACCAAGCAAGACCATCAGCTACATGCACCCATGGTACTCACTAGGGATGGCAATGTAGTTCAGAGGTAGAACACTTGTCTAGACATTGAGGCTTTGAGTTCCCAAAGATTGGAAATAAAAATATAAACCCACAACCTTTATTTGCTGCTGGGTGGGACTACAAAAAGGTGTATCCACTATGAAATTTAGTATGGAGTTGTTTTCCATTGCTGTCATAAACACCTTGGCCAAAAGCATCTTGGGGGGGGAGGGTTAATTTTAGTTTAATTTACAGTTCACTAAGAAGGGAAGTCAGGGCAAAATCTAAGACAAAAGCCATGGAGACTTCTCTGGCTTCCATATACCACCCAGGACTACCTTTCCAGGGGTTGTATCACCCACAGTGGGTTGGTTCTTGCCACATGGACCATCAGTCAGTCTGATGAAGGGACATTCTCAGTTAAGGTTCCCTCTTCCCAAATGACTTTAGTTTGTGCCACATTGGCACAGGAGATTTCTAAAACAAACAACAACAATGCTAAAAACAGAATGACTATATGGCCCAGCCATACCATTCCAAGCTGACCTAACACAGATGTTTTATATGTCCATGTTTCCAGCTGCACTGTTCACAACAGCTAGGAAGTGGAAGCAACCTGGCTGTCCATCAACGGATGACTGGATAAGGAAAATGTGGTCCATATACCGCTGTAAAGAAAGATGAATTCATGACACTTGCAGCAAAATGAATGGAACTGAAAATCATCTTAGGTGTCCATGCCTAGAAAGACAGATATCACGCGTTTTCTTGTGTGTACATCTAGATTTACATTTATCTATGTGTGTGTTGTGGGGCGCAGTATTCAAACTAGAGCGGGGAAATGAGATCTTCTGGGCAGGTTGGAGGGGACAGGTGGTCCTGAGACTTGGGAGAGGAATGAAGACAGGTGAAGGGAAAGGAGATGGGGTGGGGGAGACAATAAACAAGACAGTGTCTCAAAGTCTTAAGGTGAAACCTCTTTATGTGCTAATCTACAAATGTAGCAAAAAAATAAAATTTAAAAGACCCACAAGTTGAAAATGAATTAATTAAATTCCTCACTACAAACAGGAAGCCTGGTGCTCTGGAATTAGGGCCAGCTAGTCATGGAAAATCCATGTCTACTGGGAGGTGCGTGGACACTTCTGGATCTGCTTTGCACTGGGGCCACCTCTTCAAAAGCACAGACATCTTCTGCTTTTGTTCCAGGGCCCCCAGGCCTTTCTCCTCTCTTCTTTGGGAGCTGAGGGGTCTGGCTTGCTTTGCTGTGTGGTGATCTGTTAAGTGGCCTTGCTGGTTGATCTGGGCACTGTCTGGAGAGGCAGGAGTCCCTGCCCAGGCAGGCATACTCCCACAACAGTGGCATTCTAGGGCAAGTGCCTCTGTGCAGATAGGATACTGTTAAGGTCAAGGCTAGGCAGCTTTGGGTGGACCTGTCCCCTGAACTCCTGGCCCATCACTGGAGATTACTGGGTCTTAGGCTAGTTCTGTTGATCCCAAACCTGGGCTGTGATTCCTGCTTCAGCACACACAACTTGTCAAAGTTTGGAGGTAAGGCATGGTCAACAACCCAAAGTAAGTGAGTAGGCTGGGGCAGTCCACTCAGAAGCCACCTGGCAGAAGATGTACAAAAACAAAAATGGAGTTGAGAGGGACTCAGCCAGAGGGGCAAAGAGGTCCTTTGGTACTAAGAGGGGTGGCCCAAGAGAAAAGGGTGCCTTGTCCAAGTCTTGTTGATACAGGAAACCACCCCTCTCCTCAGAGGTCATCACAGTTCTGGGTAGCAGACCTGTTCCCACTTCTACTCAGAGCTACTGCAGAACTCCAGACTCTACATATGTTGATTTAGGTTGAGAAGGTAGGACCGTGTCATGGTTAGCACAGACATGAACACTGAAGGGCCCAGCAAGCAGAGCTTCCAGCCTCATGGTCCAAACAACAAAGCCAAGCTCCAGGACCATCACACCTTCAGGACAGAGGCGAGAATTCCAAACTGAGGGTGGGGGGAGTAGTTCCCATTCGCCAGTCAGAATGCTATTTCAAGAAGGTGCCTCACTGGCTGGCGCAGCAAGGCGCAGCCCTGTGCTCCCACCCTGCTCTAGGTGAGGAATCCCTGAGTCATTTGCTCATGTCTCTAGAAGAGCATGCCAGGTGTTCTCTTCCCCCTCAAGTGCCAAAGCGAACCACAGAACCAGAACCGACAGAAAATGGTGCTGGAAAGAGGAGCAGTTTCCAGGGAGCAATGACAGAGCCACCCAGGGCAGATGGCATTTCAAGAGGGTACCAGGTACCAGCCCTCCCCCCCCCCACCCCCAGCTGTGCCAATACCGACCCTCACTCTGCCTTTGTGAACACAGCAAGTTCTTCCTCTAGGACCTGGGAGGGGCAGATGTTAGGGACAGTGCTGGCACAGGAGAGTTATAGGAGGCGGGCACTCAGGAGACCTCAGACATCAAGTATGCCTGGACCCAGGTTTGCCTCTGGGGCAGATCCTCCCCTGGGTCTGGGCTCCAAGTTTTTCTTTGGTGCCGACTGAATGAAGATGATGAGGACATGACCACTGCTAGAGATGGTTGAGGGGAAGGTGTTTATTGTTTATTCCAGATGTCCAGAGACATCTGGAAGGGCCCATACTGAACATGGCCAGCAGAATAGGCTGTGAGAGAGGAAGAGAGAGACAGAGAGAGAAGACCAAGAGGGCAAAAGGAAGACAAAGAAAACTGAGAGAGGAGCAGGGAGAAGCAAGGGATTGAGGATCAAGAGGGTGAAGCTGGGCTAAAGAGGTTTAGGGTAGGAAGCCAGAGAGAAAAGCTGAGAGGAGCCAGAACTCTGTAACAGATACTTGCAAAGCTGAGAGAGCTTGGTGGCCAGCTTTGATATGCTAATAAGCAGCTCAGTTAAGCCATTTGTCTGAGTTTCTTTGGGACCCAACACTGATGACATGTTTGCAAACACCTCAGACTTTTTGAAAGGTTCCGGCTAGACTGAGGTCAGAGGGTGGACAAGCTGGGAAGGGATGAGGGCTGGTAAGGCAAGAACAAGGAAGGGGTTTCTTACCCTCTGTGTAGCTCTCGGAGGAAGGGGGCAGGATGTTAGGACCCCCAGGTGAAGGAAAATAATAAACATACTTAAAATACTCCCCAAATCCTTGACTTATGGACCCCAGGCAAACCAAGGGAGCCCTCTGGAAGACCAAAAGGGACTCTGAGATGGCTGGCGTCCTTGAATGCCCTTTAAACCACTCTGGCTGCAGAACGGCAAGGCTGGGAGTGGTGAAATCCTGGTGAGAATGAGAGGTGTGGCAAGAGTGGCACACCCCTTTATGCACTCTGCCAGTCTAGGCTCCCTCATCTGCCCACCAACTCTTCCTCCCATGAGGAGGTCCTAGTTCTGAATCAATTTTGATTAATTCCTGCTCAGGAGCTGGTCTGTGAAGCCCTGGTTTTCTCTCATACAAAAAGCCATCTGGAAGGAGACAAAGAAGTTTAGCCTCAAACTGCCGCCTTCCTAGCCTTGGATAATCATCATCTCCCCTGTCATCTAACTTTTCGATGAGGTGTGAAGGAACACAGCACAGCCGACACAAACAAAAGGAGTCACACACATGCCATTTCCCCTCTCTCCACACTCCATCTCCGCTTTAATGGGCCTTGCTTCCGGCAGACACTCTCAGGGTCAGTCCCAAGGTCCCAGCCGCCCTGTGTCCTATCTGCTGTCTGGAAGCAGCTTGGGGACAGACAGGGTGGGCCAACTGGCAGACAGAATTAGCTGCCAAGGGAGTGGGCAGGGTGCCCAGACTTTCAAAGGCCCCACCTATCAGTACCGAGTGGGGTAGTGGGCGGTAGGGGCTGGGTCCTTCCGTTGCTCGTGTCTGTAGTACCCTTCCTATTCAGCTGTCCCCGGGACACTGCTGGACCAAGGTGGTGGGCTAGCCTTCGATGGGGCCTTTACAGCAGACTTCCGGCCCATGAGATATTCTTTCTTGCTTTAACTTTCCAACTTGCTGAGTACATTGAGCTTTTTTTTTTTTTTTCCTGTTACAAAAGTAACTGGCGTTCAACTGACCAACAGTTTCCTAAAGCATTTCTGCTGCTGGTCAGCCCTTTCTGGAATGAGATGAGGGTCAAGGGGCAGACCCTGCTGGCTGCACATCGCGTGCCCCGCACAGCAGAGTGATCAGTCCAAGCCTACCCGCTCCAGAGCCTTATGCCGAAAGTGCTGCGGCTCTATTCACCCTCCTGTGTCCGAAGGGGGCCCTGAGTACCCGCAGGGTGCCATATACACCACGAGTACCCGGCTAGCTTGTCCCCAGCAGGCTCTGCCTCCTGGAACGTGGGCCTCAGCAGTGTCGCCCGTGCCCGTCAGGGGGCGCCGGCAGTCTCGGGAGGTTGCAGAGCCCGGCCCCTGACGTCACCGTCCGCGGTCCCCATGGCGACGGCCTCACCAGCGCGCTCGTCAGAGCCTCCAGTCTCTTGGCAACCGCCCGATCTCCGCTCCCCCTCTACCGGCACCGGGCCGCGCGTCGCTCTGGCGTCAAAGCGACGTCAATGGGCTGTGCCGGCCGCGGGGGGCGGGGTGGGGCGGGGCCTGCGCGAGGCGGGGCGGGGCGGGGCGTTGCCGCGTGCGGCCGGCGGCGGCGGCGGGGCGCTGACATGCGGCGCGGCCCGGGCGGCGGCGGCAGCGTTGGCGGCGGCGGCGCGAACGACGGGCGCCGAAGCCGAGCGAGCAGTCGAGCAGGCGGCGTCCCGGGTCGGGCGCACGGAGGGCGGCGGAGGTGAGCGGTAGCACGGGTTCGGGTCCCCGTGGCCCGAAGGTGCTCGCGTGGGGTCGCCGGCAGGACTCCAGCCCCGCGGGCTCCCCATTGTTGCGGGTCGGCGCCCGGAGGCGGGTCCGCGAGCGCCGGGTTTAGAAGCCTGTCCTGGGGAGCCGGGCGCGGGTGGACGGGAGCAGGGTTCAAGCCTGGGACCCGAGGGATCCAGGGCTGGCATGGGGTCGACTGCGGGTGGACTCCTGGCGCGCGTGCCCGGTCAGGACCGGGGGTCGGGGGGCGCGTGCGTAGGGGTTCGCGCGGAGGGAACCTGGATCAAGGGGGCGCGCGCGTGGGGGCGCAGACTAGGAGCCCGGGATCCGAGGGCTCGGCGTAGGGAGGATTTTGGGTGGAGGGGTCCGTTCATGGGGACTTTAGCCGGGGAACACGGGGTCAAGGAATGAGCGAGTGGGGGGTGCGAGGGCAAACTAGTGGGGCTGCAGGCTGGAGGAACACGGGGTTGAGGACGCACGCGTGGTGGCCTGGAGGACAGTTTCGGTGGCCGCGTCGTGGAGGATCATGCTGGGGGGGGCGAGGGGGCTTCGGTGTTGGGCCGGCGTCAGTCTGTGCTGAAACGCACTCCTCACTGACCCGCAGGTGCTGCCCGAAGCCATGGTGATCATGTCGGAGTTCAGCGCGGTCCCCTCGGGCACCGGCCAGGGCCAGCAGAAGCCCCTCCGGGTGGGCTTTTACGACGTGGAACGGACCCTGGGCAAAGGCAATTTTGCGGTGGTTAAGCTGGCGCGGCACCGAGTCACCAAAACGCAGGTGCGCGCGCGTGTTGCGGGAGACTAAACCAGGGGGTGGATCCATCCAGGGGGTGGACCCCTGTGCTGATTCAGTCCTGCAGAGTTGATTGTCACAATTGTAAACGATGACAGTGTTTAGTCTGGTAAAGGGAAAAAAAGCTTTGTATTATGTTTCTGCATAATTTGTACAGTTTCTGGGGAACTGCAAAGATAATGACCAACAACACCCCCCTAAGGGGGGGGGGGAGACAGAAAAGAAAAACCAACCAGTAATGAGTGGCTCCTGTAAAATTAGATGGCAAATACAAGGGCTTTTATTTAACCTCTACTCCCTTAAATAATGTCAGTGGCTACTTTTATTTTCTCCTAACTTTTTGTGACCTTTTGAAGACAGCAAATGATTAAGAAAATCATTTGCCCAAAAAAAAAAAAAAAAAGTGCAGAAGAGGTTAGGTTACTTGAAATTCTATTTCTAAACAAAAATACGCCCTTCTCTTTTTAAAAATCTGTAGGTTGCAATAAAAATAATTGACAAGACTCGGTTAGATTCTAGCAATCTGGAGAAGATCTACCGGGAGGTCCAGCTGATGAAGCTCCTGAATCACCCCCACATCATCAAGCTCTACCAGGTGAGCTGGCTAAATGTCCCTGCTCCATGGGCATGTCCATTGTTTCTCAAGTGCCACACCTCGGGCCTTTGGTCCCTGAAGGTGGCTGGGGTTCCTGATGCTGTGTGGGAACCAGGGAGTACAAAGTAAATAGATTGACCTTCAGTTAGGCTGTTCAGCTTTGTTGACTGTTAGTCTCTTGCTCTGGGTCATACTTGGTTTGCCTCGTTTGAGTTTTATCTAGCATTGTAACTTGTTCCAGATTTGGACCTGTTGAGGTCTGTAGATGAAGTCCTGTCACTGTGAGAATAGCCACATGTACCATCATGCTTAGTGCAGAAGGACAGACTTGAGGGAAACTCAAAACTTCTGCCTTTGCAGATGATACTAAACATTTAAAAAGCAGCTGTTCTTTCCACTTTTCCTTGTTGTATCTTTGTGATGGCAAAGCTCCCGTTGTTACCCACAGCGCAGAGTGAAGATGGGGAGGCACTTCAGCCATAGGAACTTGCCAGTTAATCCCGGGTGAGAATGTGCTCACCTATTTGTCTGTTGATTGTTTCCTCATAATCTTCACATCTTGCCTATTGATAAAGGGCCACTTCTGTTGACATTAGAAATGGGTCTAGGTATAGAGGAGCCAGGCCTTATGAATGTCATTGTATGTGCTTGTGTTAGTCCTGTCAGTGAATCCCAGAATCCTGGTGAGCCTGAGGTGACTACAGGGGACATGAGTGTGCAGTTGGAAAAACTGCGTGTACAGTGCCGTAGAGGAGAGAACTGTAATTTAAAATTACCCCTGGCCGCCCTTCTCAGCAGAAAGGCAGACGAGTCATTGGAGCTTGTGTTTGGCCTGTGGTAACAGCTCCCTCCGTGTCTCTAAGCACAGAGCCCTGGGCTGTGCACTCAGGGGTCATGCTTTATTTCAATCTTTAAGTTGTGCTCCAAGATAAGTTTCCTCCATGGCCAGTGCTGAGAGGGGTGCTGGGAAGAGGGGTTCCCTGACCTTCGGAACAGGCTGATTCTTGTGCTTCTACCTGTAGAGGTGCTCTTAGCACCTTCCTCTCCTCCCTGTCTTCGACTCCAACCAGGTTGAAGCCGTAGCACTGAGGAAATGTTGCCCAGGCTATGGATGCCAGAGTGGATATTTTAGCTCCTGTCTTCAGTGACTCAGCTTTCAGGATTGGGTGGGCTGGTGAGGCCAGTTGGTCCCCTGGTCTTGACACTGATGTCTAGTGTTAATTAATTTAGCTGATTGGGGCATCTCATTCTCTCCCTTGGGTAGGGGTAGGGTGTAGTGGCTGGGGTGGGGTGGAGTGTTTAATTGGTTTCATTTGTTGAGGTAGGGTCTTGTTTTGTAGCTCTAGCTGACCCGGTGCTCTTTGTCTCGATAGCCTTAGACTTCTGGCAATCCTGCTGTAGTCTCCTGAGTTGTGGGACTACAGATATCTGTCACCACACTTGGTTTATTTAGGGTTTTAAAAGTTTAAGAGATGTGGACTCTAAGTTCTCCCCCCCCCTTTTTTTCTTCCATAAAGAAAAGGGATAAGCAGGGGCCCTCTGCTGCACTATGTGGAGATGACAGTTAGATTTTTAGCTGAATTGCAATGGTTTTTAATAACACTTTTCTTAGTAAATTTTTGACTCAAAAAGATTTTTTAAAGCGTCTTTTAAAGGAATAACAGCAGGTCTTGAACCCAAAGAAATCTTCCTTCATGTCAGAGTACATTCTCTTTCCCTCTCTCAGATGTTTTATTTATCTGTTTATATTGAGACAGTTTCACTGTGAAGACGGACTGGCCTGGAACTTGGCTATGTAGTCTAGGCTGACCTTGAGCTTTGGGCAGTTCTGCCTCTGCCTCCTGAGTGCTGGGAGTACAGGTGTAATCCCCCTGTACTCTGGCTCCTCTGAAATATTTTAATTATACGACATACATAAGTGTTTTTTATTTCTTTCAGAACCAAAAATTTAAATTTTATTTTGTTGCTTAGTTATGATTAAATTTTTGTAGGTAACTTAAAGTTGTCGGTCAGTGAACAGACTCTGAAGGTGTTTGTTGACACTGACCGGTACTGTTGACACATGCCAAGCAATGCACTGTACAAAGAGCAGTCCCCTGTAGCTTATCTGGCAAGGCCATGTTCTTAAGGCTTAATGTCTTGTCAATAAAGCAAGTGGGGGGTAGGATATTTGTATTGATCACTCAGCTTTCTTTTCTTTCTTTTTTCTTTTTTTCTTTTTTTCTTTTTTCTTTTTTTCTTTTTTTTTTTTTTTTTTTTTTTTTTTTTTTTTTTTTTTTTTTTTTTGGTTTGTTTTGGTTTTTGTCTTGAGTGACCAGTTGTCCACAGGGTTTCTGAAAGGGCACTTGTCGCATTCTGGCATCCACGGCCTCCAGAGCCCCCAGGAGGCCTGCAATGCAAGTGCTTGCTCAGTACAGCTCTGTTTGTGGCTCTCTCCTTTTGAAGAGCAGAGGTGCTAGGAAAGACAGGACTAAGAAATGGCGGGCCAGAGGGGCTTATCCCAAGTCATATAAAGCTGTGTCTCTGGGTTGTATTTTTCCCCCCTCCCTGTCTCTTTCCTTAAGCGATGAAGGCAATTTCTTGGAGAAGTCAAAGGTTGCTTTGGGTCCAGGTGCATCCATCAGGGCTTCTGTGTGAACCTTTTCCCCCTGCTTAACTTTTCCTTTTTGTGTTGTTGTTTCAGGTTATGGAGACGAAGGATATGCTTTACATTGTCACGGAGTTTGCAAAAAATGGAGAAATGTTTGGTGAGCTGCATTCATTTTAGCGTTAGGTGAAGCCTGCCTTCTCGCGTTTGTGTGTGTCTTCTGGGGCTCTCAGTGCTGCTTTGCCTGGCCCCAATAGTAGCAGACTTGGTGTAATGTCTTGGAGTGTAACTTTGTTTTGTTGTTCCTCAGATTACCTGACTTCGAATGGGCACCTGAGTGAAAACGAGGCTAGGAAAAAATTCTGGCAGATTCTGTCGGCAGTAGAGTACTGCCACAACCATCACATAGTTCACCGGGACCTCAAGACTGAGAACCTGCTGCTGGATGGCAACATGGACATCAAGCTGGCAGGCAAGAGATGTGTGGTGAGGGAGGCCCTGTGGGGTCTCTGGTTCCAGCGCACCCTGCGGCACAACATTTGCCAGTCCGGTACTGATGTTGGTGCCTGTTCTTCTGCCTCACAGATTTTGGATTTGGGAATTTCTATAAGCCAGGAGAGCCCCTGTCCACGTGGTGTGGGAGCCCCCCATATGCAGCTCCTGAAGTCTTTGAGGGGAAGGAGTACGAAGGTCCCCAGCTGGACATCTGGGTAGGAGCCCTTTTGGACCCTGCTGCCTGCTGCCACATCGCTGGAGCTGGCAAGCAGGGCACCAACACAGCTGTCTGGTTATTCACAGAGCCTCGGCGTGGTGCTGTACGTCCTCGTCTGTGGCTCCCTTCCTTTTGACGGACCCAACCTGCCAACACTGAGACAGCGGGTGCTGGAGGGCCGGTTCCGCATCCCCTTCTTCATGTCTCAAGGTGGGTGGGCATGGAGTTGGTCTGCCCTGGGAGCCTTGGGTAATCTGGGCGGTGGGTGGCTTTGGGAAGAGTTGACAGGAGGGTCTTGACAATGCCTACCCAGTGGTCTAGCAAGTCTCCCCACCACCAGGCCCTTACCTCTGCAGTACCCACAACATCAGGCCCCACATTTCTGCTGTCCCCTCCACCATCAGACCCCAGGATGCTAGCCTCATGTGTGCCACAACAGGAGGGAGAGTCTAAATGGTTTTCTATAGGGAACATTTAAAAAGTGTCTCCCTTGGGTCTGACACCCAACTTGGTGTCTCCCTTGGGTGGCTCTTTGCTGGGGTGGGGAGGGGCTATAATGACAGTTTCTGGCTTCTTGATTATCACGTGGGTTTAGGAGTGGGAATGAGCCCCCAGGCCCATCATCCTATGAGCCCTTCACTTCCACAGACTGTGAGACACTGATCCGACGCATGCTGGTAGTGGACCCTGCCAAGCGCATCACCATTGCCCAGATCCGCCAGCACCGGTGGATGCAGGCTGACCCCACCCTTCTGCAGCAGGATGACCCCACCTACTCCATGCAGGGCTACACCTCCAACCTGGGCGACTACAATGAGCAGGTGCTGGGCATCATGCAGGCCCTTGGCATCGACCGGCAGAGGACAGTGGAGGTAAGCACGCTGGGCATAGCCCTGCCTTTGCCTCACATCCTGGCATGGCGGCTGGATCAGCTTTCTCAGGCAAAGCAGGCCTTTGCCTGTGGAGTTAAAAATGGGGTACAGTCTAATTTAAGGGCCAGCTTGTCCCCTTCTCAAGGGTATTCTTGGCTGCCTGAGAATTACCTGGGGATGACCTCACAGGGAAGCCTGGTGGCCAGGCCTCACTCTGACCTCACTGACCTTGTTCCCCAGTCTCTGCAGAACAGCAGCTACAACCACTTCGCTGCCATTTACTACCTCCTGCTGGAGCGCCTCAAGGAGCACCGAAGCACCCAGCCCTCATCCCGGCCCAGCCCTGCACCTCCCCGGCAGCCCCGACTCCGAAGCTCGGACCTCAGCAGTCTGGAGGTGAGGGTGAACTCCTCTCAGAGCCCTGCTCCTATCTCTTGGCTTTGAGTTGTTCCCTCAGAGCTCGGAATCCCTTGAATCCCTTGTTCGGTGGTGGCACCGACTCTCTGGGCTGTCCCTTGAACCTCATTGCAACCCTAGTTGCAGGCTGTGGGGCTGGGAGGGGCTTTGGGGGAAGAGGAGGTGAGGTTATAGCTGCTTCACTCTGGGCCATGTTCTGCCCAGCAGGTTCTTGTCCCTAGCACCTCCTCCTGGCCACCTGTGTGTGCATGTGGCCCCTATATGATGGCCCAGAATCCTGAGCCCCAAACTCCAGCTGGCATCTGACTTCTGCCAGTTTCCATCTGTAAAACCAGTTTGCTGCCACTGGTCGTTGACTCTGGAATCACCTCCTGAAAATCCCTCCCCCCTCTCAGGTTCCTCAAGAAATTCTCCCATGTGACTCTTTCCGGCCCTCTCTGCTGTGCCCGCAGCCCCAGGCCTTGGCTCAGTCTGTCCTGCAGGCCGAGATGGACTCTGACCTCCACGGCTCACTTCAGGTGTGTGGGTGCCGGCCTGCTGTTTCTTAGTGGCTGTGTTCTACTGGTACCCATTCTTAGAGCCCTCGGAGTCACCAGCTTCTGTCCCTCCCTTGCAGCCCTTATTCTTCCCTGTGGATACCAACTGCAGTGGTGTGTTCCGGCACCGTTCCGTCTCTCCCAGCAGCCTACTGGACACAGCTATCAGTGAGGAGGCCAGGCAGGGTCCTGGCCTGGAGGAGGAGCGGGAGGCCCAGGAACCCTTGCCTGGCAGCACAGGGCGGAGGCATACACTAGCTGAAGTTTCCACCCATTTCTCCCCATTCAACCCTCCTTGTAAGTATCCCCCAAAGACCCAGCATCCAGGGTGAGGGGCAAAACCATGTAGAATCCACTTGAAATGGGTCCTTTTGCCTGACACCTGCCTCCAGTTAGCCTTTTGATTCAGTGACCCATGGTTCATACTTGGATATGCCTGTACTTTTATCTCAGTAGTGGGCCACCCTTTGCTGTCCCAGGCACTGGAGAGCAGGTGTTTGGCCTTGGGTCTCTTCCTTCCTGGGGTCTGTGTGTCACTGGTAGCCTGCCATCTGCCCTTGCACCTGTGGGCTCACAGGCAGAGCCTCTGGGCTCTGGTGGCCCAGATGAGGGTCAGGTTGGAGAGTACTATACCACTGCCTCCCTCACCAACAGACCATGTCCCCTGTCCCTCAGGCAGTGACCTTAGGGTGTTCAGTCCCCTTCTCAAGCACTTGATCTTCCCACAGGCATAATCGTCTCCTCCTCTGCCACAGCAAGTCCCTCAGAAGGAACCAGCTCTGATAGCTGCCTCCCGTTCTCTGCAAGTGAAGGTCCTGTGGGGCTTGGTAGTGGCCTGGCCACCCCAGGGCTGCTGGGCACCAGCTCTCCAGTCAGATTGGCTTCGCCTTTCCTGGGCTCACAGTCAGCCACCCCTGTGCTACAGGCTCAGGCGGGTCTGGGCAGAGCTGTCCTGCTTCCTGTCAGCTTCCAGGAGGGACGGAGGGCATCAGATACCTCACTCACTCAAGGTAAGGTTCCTTTCCATGCCTGTCCCTCATGCCCCAGGAAAGACCGCTGTCCTGGCAGGCCATCTCTGTCCTTGATAGAGCAGGACCATCAGTGCTCCTCAGCAGGGTAGACTCAGACCTGACCCTGAGTGCAAGGGACAACCATTCCAAGCAACAGTTGCTGCTTGACTGGAGGGCCAGGGTCAAAGAGTGACCCTGACAAAAGCGGTCCCATACCTGCTTGGGTTTCTCCATGCCACTCAGGGTCAGACATACCTGTGAGGTCCTCTATGCCTTTGACAGTCCAGAAAGCCCCCAGAGCCCAGTGCACTGCACGCCCCCTCCTCCACAGCTTACCCAGACTGACCGATCTCATTGGGAAGGAGCGGAACCATGGGGGAGGGGTAGATGTTGGGCTTAGGAGCTGGCAGCTGCCAAGCCCCGCAGGGCAGTGCTACCCAGTTATCCTTTTCCTTCCCTCCTCCTCAGGGCATGGAAACAACAGCAGGCTGAAGGCCACTGGCCACAATCTAGAGTCAGGCCTGCTAACCTCTGCTCTTGTTTCCACAGGGCTGAAGGCCTTTCGGCAGCAGCTGAGAAAAAATGCGAGGACCAAGGGGTTCCTGGGGCTGAACAAGATCAAAGGATTGGCACGCCAGGTGTGCCAGTCCTCCATCCGAGCTCCCCGGGGAGGCATGAGTCCCTTCCACACCCCAGCCCCAAGCTCAGGCCTGCAAGGCTGCACGGCCAGCAGTCGGGAAGGCAGGAACCTGCTGGAAGAGGTGCTACATCAGCAGAGGTAGGCCTGCCACACCAATCCAGTGCTCTCTGCCCTTCCCCATAAGGAGCCCATGAAGCAAGCACCCCATTTCCCTGTGTGCCAAGATGTCCCCTGCCATTTGGTTCATTGGTGAGGTCTCTGAAGCCTGGCACCTTGTTGTCAGGGAGAGAGCAAGGAGGGGCAGCGGGCGGGCTTAGTAACCCTTTGTAGTTAGAGGGCAATGGTGGTGGCCAAGACTGTCCTGTCAAGCTGGCATCTGTGTTGCCACAACAGCTAGGACTTAGGGCGGGATGGCTCAGGGATGTGTCATGTCACACACACAGAGCTCTGTGAAACTTTGTCTGCCAAGAGCAGCTCTGAGGTGGGTGGGACCCACCTGGAAACTGGAGTGCTTCTGGGCAGGGCCCACACAGTGACCTATCCCCTCCCTGTCTCTGTTCTTCAGGCTACTCCAGTTACAGCACCACTCAGTCACCTCTTCTGGCTGCCAGCAGGGCCCCCAGCCGTCCCCTGCCCCGTACATGTTCACTCCCTGTGATGGCCTCCTCATGTCTGGGATCCCACTGCTGCCAGCGCCGCTCCTCCAGGCTGGCATGTCCCCCGTGGCCTCTGCTGCACAGCTCCTGGATACCCACTTGCACATCAGTGCCGGCCCAGTGGCTCTACCGACTGGGTCCCTGCCACAGTGCCTCACCAGGCTGGCCCCGAGCTGTGACCCTGCTGGGCTGCCACAAGGGGACTGTGAAATGGAGGACCTGACCTCTGGCCAGCGGGGGACATTTGTCCTGGTACAGTGAGAGTGGTCCTGCGGCGCCCCCCGCCCCCCCCTTGGTCCATTGACTCTTCCAAGCAATAATTTCAGAGTATGTGAAGATGGTTTCGGACTCAAAGCCAAGAACTTTTTAGAAGTGAAACAAGCAATATGTTTGGTGTATGGGCTTTTTAGGATTTTTGTTTTGTTTTAATGTTTTCCTTGCACTGAGTGACCTCAATGATCAGTAGGGACTGAAACTTTCTGAAGAAAAATAATAACTGAGGGTGTGTCATGTGGGTGGGTGGAGGGGAGGGGAAGTGGGGGAGGGAGAAGAGAGGGCCATGCTGCTCGGGAACCTACACTCCTGTCCACAGTTCATCATCATAGTGTGATGAGCTCAGACGTCCTTGGAGGGAGCAGCGCCGAGTGTGGCACATGCCTGTGTGTTGGTTGGCGTCATTTTGGGTTTTGGTTCACAGCTCTCCACTTCTGAAATGGTTATGCTTTAACAAAAACTGTGAACTTGCTGCTTTCCGTGTGGGTTTTAGAACAGCCAGGATCGGCCTAGGGGAAGACCACATGCATTGTTGGGATTTCCCTGCCAGCCAGAGGACGACCTTGTCGTATTTTAGCTTGAGTTTTATAGCTGCTCAAGTCGGTTTGCCAGGCTTATTCAGAGGAAACCACAAAGGACTGGAAGGGGGTAAGGACCTGCAGGTGGGCTTTCTGTCCCACGGTCACTTGACCCAGAGCCCTCACACTGCAAGGAAGCCAACAAGTTCCTTCCTGCCGTGTATCTTGACTCCGCTGCTAATTACCAGATTTTTACGCATTTCATTATCAGGGTCCAACAAGAACACCTGACGGGGAAATTGTGCAATACCAAGGGGCTGTGGCCAGAGGGGCCCAGGCAGCCAGCGGGCATCTTGGTTATGACCACCTGCCCCTGGTCTGGGACCTTTCTTGTTAACACCCTGGCACCCAGGCCTGAGCTCCGTCTGGCTTGCTTTCCAGGAAGCTGAGTATAGGTCAGTGTTTGTAAAGTTTCTTTTTTAAGCAAATACTGTATATGTATATAAATAGGAGACAGACACTACTTATTTTTTCTATTTTGTATACACTTTTGTGTTCCTGGCTTAAACCTCCCTTGGTCACATTAAGAAGTGTCCCCATCTGCACCACATTTGTGTCGAAGGGGCCGCAGGCTGCCCACCTCCACACAGGGTAGAGCAGGGAAGGGGTAGCCCCACCTGACAAGTACAGGTCTACCTTGGCAGGTAGACCCAGGCACAGCTCTGTCATCCAAAAGCCTCTGGAGGGAACCAGGGATGTCACCCCTTCCCACTCACTCTGTGTTAGGCATCTGTCCCTTTGCCTCCCAGGTGACTTCCACTATGGCATCCCACCAGGGCAGTATTAGCCTGGGGTCGTTAAGGGAGAAGAAAGGAGGCACTTTTAAAAGCCAAAGATTGACCGAGTTTCCTGAGGCCAGGAAGAGGCTGCACTCGACCTGATGCAGTCACAGCGCGGTCCTCCCTGTCGGCCCTGTGGCCCATCTTGTACTACACACTTACTCTCAAGACAGGTGAAAGACCAGTCAGAACTGGTGCCCTCCATAGAACAAGCCAAAAAGTGTCCCTCCTGTCGACTCACCAGATGTGTGGATCGGGGAAGCACCCAGCAGCCTGGGCAGCCAGCCCTCGTCTCCCACAGTTCCTGTCTGGATACCACAGATCAAAGGCCTGGACACTGCTGTATGTCAGAAGCGACAAGCACTTTACTTTCTGGCAGTTTCTGTGTCTTCTAGTCGCTGTCAACCCTTCCCAGGGGACAGTAATGTCATGGTTTTAAGTTCTTGTTTTTTTGGCGTGTGTGGTGTGTTTTTGTAGATCCTCACAGCCCTGTCCTGGACTGTAATGGAATCGCCTATTTAAAGACACTACGTGATCTCTGATGTATATAATGGTTTGTTTTGTTTTTGTTTTTTTTTTTTTTTTTTTTTTTTACTATGATGGAATTGTTTCATTTCTCATGTTAACGTGAGAAACGTATGCCAAATGATTAGTTGATGTATGTTTTTTTAATTTAATATTTAAATAAAATATTTGGGGGGGAACCTTGACTTTCCCTTGGTTCGCCTCTGGAAGCTTACTCCTTTGAGACACTGTTAGGAGGCCCCAGCGGTCTGGGGCCTGTTGTCTACAATGGGCTGAGCTATGTCCAGGCCTGCCATAGTGGCCTGTCTTAGCCCAAAGCCTGCAACAGGCTTTTCCTTCCATGGCTATTGCCCTCTTTGCCCCCATCCCCCTGCCCACTTCCTCCAAATAGTCTCTGAATCCCTTTACAAATTCTAGAAGGTTTAAGCCTTTACAAGTGTTTGAAGAATTTTATAGGCAAACTCCCCTGGTCTCTAAGTCTTCACTGTCTTCCAGCATAGGACAGTCTCATAGTACAGATCCTTTGGGTAAAGACAATTCTTTAACCTCTTTACAAGTAGATGACTGGTCCTGGAATGGAACCCAAGTGCCCTGAAGTGGAGAGGTACCATGGTACAAACTCCATAGAAAATAATGGGCCTGTGCCCAAAAACTGGTTTCAGATGTTTACACACCAGGTTCTCAGGAGTAGTCAGAGTTTAGAGGCAAGCCCAGTGTCCTTTCATGGATGAATAGGTGGGCAGGATGTGGTCCCTTCCCCATAGTTGAGCATTAGCCTTCTAAGTGAAAAGAACCCTATCCTGAGTGAATCCCAAGGATGTGCCTAATGAGGTAAATCAGTCACAGGAGGCAGAGGTAATATGACTGCATTTCTATGAGGGCCTTAGAGTAGTCAAACTCAGAACATAGCCGGTTAGGAAAGACATAGTGTCTGTCTTTTAACAGGGACAGAGATCCAACTTGGGACAGTGAGATGCTTCTGGCGGTGATGGCTGCACAGACATATGTTTTAATGCTATGTCCAGAAGCATTCTAGCACATTTCACGGTGGGTCTGTTGAGCCATAATAAAAGTGTTCCAGAGTGAATGGACAGTGGCTGCCAGACAGAGCCAGAAGGACCCGTGGAGGAGCACAATGGACTCAAATAAGGACATGCCACTGCAGGTGATGAGAACCCAGGATCTATGCCTGGGCCTCCAGTGTCTGTGAGGAGCACTGTCCCCAGCCCCTTCAGATGGCCAGATGGGATGGAAGACTGTGAGGGTGCCTCCTTGGATCCCAATGAGCCTTGGTGGCTCATGCTGTGTGTTTCAAATGGTTACCACATCTAGACTTGCTAAGTCAGTCATCCATGAGGAAAGCTACCCAGACTACACCTCCAAGAAATGTTGGTGCTGGGACCTAGGTTGGGAGGCATGGCAGGGTCACCTTGGCTCTGTGTGTGTGTTCTTGGTGACATCATTGATGTTCAGCTTGACTCCGTGGCTTATGCAGTGGCCTGAGACCAACTCCAGACAACTCATGTCTCTAGGCCTCCCTGTGTATTTGGCTCTCACATGTGTTCTTGCGAAGAAGACTAATGTATGTCTCTGCTCCCCACCTAGGAGGTACTCTCCAAATGGGTAATGAGGATATGTGTATATCATGGTGCCTCAGAGAGCCTGGGTACAATCCCATATGTGAGTAGCTCCTTAGGAAGTGGGTGACAGCCACAATTCTGCCAGTTGCTGCTTCTAGAACTTACAGGGTGCAAGGAGGAGGATGGAGAAGATAAAACATCACTTAGATCTCTCGGGTTAGAAATTAGAGCCTTGGGAAACTTCTAGAAACTTGTGGGACCCTAGAATTCTGTCCTGGGCTAGTTGGTCTCACAACCTTTTCCAATTCCTCTGAAGAGCAGCCCTTGTTGCTGTGGGCGTGTGAGGTCCCTTGCCTGTGGAGAGGTCTCTTCCCAACCCTGCCCAGGTCTCACTGCCAACATTTTTGCTCTGCAAACGGCCCCACCTTCCCAGGGAGTTTCACAAGATGTTTACATCAGGGACGTGTTCGTTCCTGTCCTGCCACTAGAGAAGCAAAGTGGTGCTTTAACACATCCCTCACCACACAGCTGCACTTCTGAGAGAGAGATGGGGCACACCGGGCTTCTTCAGCTTTCTTCCTCCTGACCCTTCCGGCTAGAGTCCGGGCAGAGCCTGGAGCAGTAACCACTGTGGAGCAAGCGGCCGCTTATGTCCTTGCTAATAGGAGATAGAGCAGTACCCATAGGGCTCAGCACACAGTGTCTCAGTGGCTAAGAATGCGGTCTTTGCTGTCACATGCCTGCCTTTGTGTCCCAGCTCTACAGCTTTCCAGTCCTGTGACACTAGACAGATGACCTGGATGGGATGTGTGTTAGTGTTCTTGTTTGCAACATGGTACATTCAGCCACGGTGTTGCTTCTTAGAGCTGTGTGGGCTCTGACTAGCTTATAACAGAGAGAGAGACAGCAGTGTCTGCCTGGGTGTTGTGGGCACTAGGCAAACAGTGATATCTGTAAGCGTCATCCTCAGCAAGGACAGGACAGAGCTCCCCTCTGCCCCGAGAAGGAGAGTTGTCAACTGGCCACACAGCTCCTGGCCCACCTACCTATCCTAACATGCACACAGAGGGTGCCAGCTCCTAAAGGAAGCAGGAGACTTCACCCAGCAGCCCCTAGATGCTCTTTGGCCAACTTAGGTGTTTTTATTGCCTAATGGCAGGCTGACCGTCTCTGCAAAACCACCGGTGGGAAGGACCTCTCTTGACAATCTTGAGGAATGGGACCTGCTTCTTCCTCTGTATCCCAGCATACACTAGGATGTGAGGCGGTTCCAGGTGGGGCCTTCAGAACGGGAACTGAATCTGACTGAGGAGGAACTGACTCGTGGGAGCAGAAGGGGAAAAAAAAATCTAGTTTCTCTTCTAGAATGAAGTAGGGGTGTGTTAGAGGACACACTGGTGAGGGGTTTGGCCAGCACCATCTCAAGGAAACGTGACTTGGTCTTGCTCTATGGGCCCTGAAGAAGATCTAGTGGGGCTTCTTTAAGGCCTGGGAATCTGGGCGTGGCTTGTGGCTAGGGGTTGTTAAGAGGGGTTAAAGCATTTCTGTGCCAGTTGCTCAGAGAACTGCTGCCTCTCCATCCATTTTCATTGTTGTCATTTTGCCTAGTCGAATGTCAATTCTCAAAAATATTGAAAGGACTTGAGAACACTCAGGAGACCCAGGGGCCAGCTCCAATGATGCTGGTGCTTCCCCATCTCCCTGGGACAGCCGGGGGTGGTGGTGCTGGCTGGAATCAGG